ACAAATTAGCCGAATCTTTTGTTTTTTACTCGTCTCTTTGTATTAAAATCCGTGGTCCATAAAAAGGGGCAACTGGAAAAAATTCTTTGAATTTGCTTTGTACTTTGGATTTCTTCTGACGCATATTAAGAGTTTTCGATGTAAATCTACGTGGAATATTTTAGCTATTTTTGCGATGAGTTCCCTAGTCTTTTTTATATTTACCTTTTAAATATTCCAGTCTCTTTGTTAGGGGAGCAGTTTGGCATGGCTTGAGCTAGGCAGCCCATTTCTGAGCTATACATTTGGTTTCACATTTCACCTTCTATTTTGGCCGCATCGGCTCACTCACTGCTATCTTGTATTGCATTCAATCATAAAAAAGTGCTATAATCTTAAAAGTTCAGGCAGCTATTTTTGCTTATCGTAGGCCCATCGTGAAATGACGGGAACCGCTTATCAGCTGATTGCTGCGGTTGGGCGCTCAGTCGCTTTGGCGGAGGCGGTAGTCGTCAGGCACAACTATGATTAGATATTTATCAGCTGACTCAAGTTTTATGAGTGGCGCCATGAGTCCGTTTTGATCGATAACCTTACTCTGTCACTTTTTTCCCACGCGCTATTCATTCGTTCTGGTTCAATGTGTTGTTACATGGTCTTTGTTTCACCGTCGGGAAACCTTCGTTTATCGATCAATACTTTCGCTATTTCTCATCTTTCCAAATCGATATTTGTCATGATCCGATCGATTTATGTGTCACCTCGTTCTGGTGGTGAAAGATAGCCATTCTCAACTTCATGCATTTCTTTCCAGAAAATAGCATCGCGCACGGCCCGTGTCAGTCCACCACAATCTGGCGCCAATTAGCCGCCGTACCTTCGAACCGATCGAGATTTGTTGGTCCGGCGCCAAGTGGCGCGAGCAGCAACTTCTGGCCGGCACCGTGGCGTCGCCACGGTCGTCGTACTGCAACGGCAGCATGCGAATCGGCGATCTGAAGCGAGCTGTCGAAGATGTGATCCTGAGACCTGATCAGAATCCTCTCAACGATCTCGACAAACGTGACACGATCGCCGCGCTCGATCTTTGCCAGGTTAGGGAACGGATTATTTTATATTTATAATCATTTTTGAGTCGCTGTTTTGTTGGAGTCCACTGGAGCTCCGAAGAGGGGGTGGGGACAAATAGTGCGATGGCTCGTGCCATTACAGTGACTCTTAAATTTTGCAGTAAGAGCCCCAGGCTTCCTTAGGCCGATGTCAGACTTTGCGAATCGCGCGATTCGCTAGCGTCCGCGGTCGCGTTGCGGTACCAGCCAATTGAGTGATTCACTGGCCGCGACGCGACCGCAGACGCTAGCGAATCGCTCGATTCGCAAAGTCTGACATCGGCGTTAACACCTACCTCGGAGACCTCCATGCGCAAAAGGTGGGGTTACTGTAGGCAGCACGAACTGTTGTACCACATGTTGACCCGGTTCACTCCACTAAGGGGCATGTGGTGCGACAGTTGCTGCCGCCTACAGAAATTTTAATTTTTCATGTAGATAAAATCCTCGGAGTGCGTGAGCCATTCTACTTTCGCTCTAATTCAGATAGAGGGGGGGGGGACCAGGGCGGCGATGCGACGAGATCTGTTCCTTTCTCCCCCAACTCAGACTTCGTCATAGAAGACGATATTATTTCGCTGGCAGAATGGCTATGTTTCCCGAAATGCACAGTTTACACTACTAGTTGTGGCCTTGAGATGCAGGTACTGCGCCGCTGCGTGGTTCTACCCACCTCCTCCCCAACTAAGTTTAGCACCTTACTTCCACTCCGCACCTTCGCTCTCGTGCGGAAAATTACCTAGGCGACATAAACAGTCACCCCACGTCCCCTTTACTGGATGGTAGACCACTGGCACCATTTTTGTTATACAGAACTAACCGTAGCTGCGTCGTGGTTTATTTTTATTAAAATTGAATGGGATATTTTGTTCGTGTGGATGTAAGGAACCGTAATGAAAAATTCCGGCTCTTTTTTGGTTCAAATCTGTGGGCAGGGCTGGCGGTGCATTCCAACCACAAAAGTTGCACAATAAATGCATACAAACTTGACCTATGGGATCATTCGTTGTCTTGGGAACGAATACGACGTCCATTTTGGCGCTAGCTTCATTTGGTGCCATTTTAACCTAACATGAGGTATCACCTGTTTCCGCTAACGTACGTAAGGGGTTTCCTAAGGTGAATAAGGGTTATATTAGGCTGACTTGTAGGCATTGTGTATTAACAGGCTCTACATCAGACGAGTGTGTCGTTTGAGAGATCCTGATGACGAAATAAAAGAGAACGGACTAGAAGCAACATTGAATCAATGAGCGCCAGCAATGCTGAACGGGCTGTCCGATGGGGTTAGTTCACTAGGACAGAAAGCGACTTTTTTCGCGTCTTCGCAGCGCGAAACATTTTTCGCTGCGGGAACCTCAGGTCCACCGCTGATCATGAGTGGACCTGGAGTTCCCGCAGCGAAAAATGTTTCGCGCGCGAAACGCGAAAGTCGCTTTCTGTCCTAGTGAACCACACCCCCGCCGGACAGCCCCGCTCCATCTGTGCCTCAATTATCAGTGTTGCTTCTATCCGTTCTCTTTACTCGTCATCACAGGTCTGCTCAAAACAACCACTCTCTGATGTAGAGAGGCGTAAACAATGCTCAATCACCAATATAACCTTATATCACCTTAGGCAAAGCGCCCCTTACGTACGTTAGCGGACACAGAACCACACCCTGTCACGGTGGGCGGAGCGTGTAATGGGGTCTGGTACGTCATTAATAAGTCGCCTTCTGTAAGAGTAATGACATTCTTTACCTCTTCCAGTACCTCACTTCCATTCCACTAGCTTGGACTCCTCCTAAGGTTGTCGCGGATAGTTTTGTAGAAACGAGGTTTCCCATCCCTTCGGCCCTAGGTTCATTTTCGATATTACGTGCTCACTCTCTTTGCGCTTAGAATGTCATATCCCTGGTCCACACTTCACGAGTTGTTTGGCGGGATAATATGGGTTTCGACGATCAAAAAATAGATCTGATGACACACAATGTGTTCGTCATTTATGAAAGCTCAGCGTCCACTCAACAAATTGGAGCGTGGAACGCGAAAGGGTCAATACGCTCAGTAGAGGAGTAAATTGTCAAAATCGTGTGGCGTTATTATTTTCTTTGCGAACTACCAAGTGCGTTTCTTCATCTGCAACGAGCTACGGTGCCAAAAGGAGTCATTTCAAGTTTGACAGCGGTTGCGTCGCGTGCGTGGCCTAGGGGCGCACTAATTCTGCGATTAGAAGTCCCTCTTGTTTGAGCGAGTTTCTTTGTTACGTGTTATCGCATTTTGACGAGATATTATGTATTTGTGATGTAGACCAACATACACGTTCATAATATTACACCCTGAGTTCATACTTATTCAATAATGATCGGTTTTCAGCCCGAGCCGTCACCTCCGCTACCCGCATGCCAGCCGTCAGCAGCGTCAATGAACGCGTGTTCGTGTTCGAGTGAAACGGTACCAGTGGACGTGCCTCGTCCACCACCCCCGCTCTGCACCAGCACCAGTCTCGATACGATTGTGAGTTTCGAGTGAATTCTAAAGCATAACAAACTGGTTGCGAAGAGACGATCTCTTTCCATTTAAAGTTTTTCTTGGAGGATTCGAGTGTTTTTGTGTGGGGATAAATATGAAGTTTACATAAACGAAGGAGTCTATCGTTCGTAGATCTCCAGCTTTTTGTTTTCATGCGCAAATATTTTGAGAACACTGATAAATAGCTGTGCTTTCCTTGAAATCCGTGTCATTTAGTATTTCAGATGATGTCATTTGAATACAACTGAAGTGTTTTTCTAGGAGTATAAATCTAAAATGTCTGAGACGTTTCGCATTTCCATCAATGGCGGCCTTTGAAAGCAATCAAAGTCTTTTATTGTATGTGTGTAGAAAGCTGCCTAAAGAAATTGAAAGGATGGTTTCGGCATGAAATCGAGAAGGTTCAAAGACCAATAAAACGAAATAAGAGAGCCAAGAAGAAGTTGGGGTGGGGTAGGAGGGAGGGTCTTATCCAGTAAAGAAGGGGAGGGCGGTGGTGCGACATTTGCTGCCATATATGAAAATTCTAATTTTCGCAGAGGAGGAAATTCCCGGGTTGTGTGAAACATCCCTCTTTCTTTCACACGCACCCCTTTCCTCCCCAGCGTAGAATAGTGTTACTGTAGGCGATATTAACTTTCGCACCCTATTGATTTCACTCTAACAAGTAAGTTGACTTGCTATTGTAACATGGAAATTATTCAGGTAAATCGCCCACAACCAGTCCTGTATCGACACTCAGCTGGTGTATCTCGGCGACAAAGTCGTGTACTATCAACGTTGCAGTCGAAAAGAAAACGCAGTAATTCGCTGACGAACTACCAGAAAACGTGAGTATTTTTTTGTAATTTTTTCCATAGGGACTCGGAATAGCCCCTAATATTTTTTCTATCGACGAATTGTGACAGATGTTTCCATCGCTACCGTAATTTTTCCCGTACTTGTGAACTTAGAAGTGATCTGAATGTGTTGAAAACTAGACCCCAATGGCAGCTGTGATAATGACCAGTTTTGCTTCATATTAAAACTGCATTCCTCGTTCTTTTGGAACGTTCTTCTAATATCTACTATTCTTCTTTTTCAAGACGCTGTACATCAGTTTCATCTACGCCGTTCTCGACAGACACCAATGCGATTCGGCGATGATGATCCTCACAGGTATCTGACTCCTCGATTATTATGTTCTCATATTTCAATTGTTTATTTCGAAATTGCAATATGCATTTTACAAATACTCCTCCAGTAATTGCTTGGTAAAAATAGAGAGATCTTCTGTGTCCCTCATTTTCACTTTTTAACAAATAATTATTGAAGAAGTTCACTTGGTCTATTCCGACGTCTCATTCTTATCTGTAGGCCCGAAGCGAAGATTATTCTCAGGATTACGTAGCCGAAGAGGACGAAACAGTAATCTGTGAGGGCTTTGAGATGTCATTCATGTTTTTCTTTTATTTGTTGAATTTTACAACATGAGAATCACCAAATGTTGTCAACTTTTTTTGCCATGGTGGACTCGTTTAACTTGAGAATTTTGTGAAGTTTTTTCATTGGCAAAACTTGTTGCTGAAAGTTTGCTTGTGCTTCAAATTGCTACGCATTATCTTGATTGTAGTTTATTGATTCTTACAGATCAGTATACGGAACCGGATACGGCGCCACCACCTTCTAAAATTACCTCGCTTCCGGCGAACTTCAACCCCTATTTGACGTACCGTGAGTCCAGAGAGGATGAGGCTATGGAGTGCGATTGACGGGTGATTTAGCGTATGTGGTCAGTTTTACACTCTGTGATATTCGATTCTTATGTTTTTCGTTTGGAATAGAGTCATGAAGTAGCACTCATGACTGTTTTGATTCTGAGGGCTTTCTGTTTTTGAGTTTATCGATTCATCTGCCAGTTCAGAACCCTCTTCTCTTGCATATTGGCCCACTATTATCAGATGTGTACCCATCTGGGAGGGTAAATATTTTGTTGCTGATATTGGTTTCACCGGCGGAAGCCCGACTGACTTCTTGTTACAAATAGGCTCTTTTATCACTTCTGTAGAGTAGTCAGTAGACATCTGGAGTTGAGTGGGAAAGGCCTCGCCATCCATCCAGTCAGCTGTAAATAACAACTTAATCTTCTGGAATTGAATTTGTATTTACATATTCAACGTTTCCGGGGTATAGGATAGAACCCAGTCCGTGGCGTATCATATCCATCCTTTCCTCTTTCTTTCTGTCGGCATTAGAGATTATATTGGCTTTCCCTCATAACACCGATTTCAAGGGAGCTTTTCAATACTACTCTATCCAGAAGTATCATTTCGATTCAAATGCTTATGTTACAACAAGGTGATGACCAAAATGTTTTTTTTTTCAAAAGATTCAAAACTTTCCCAGAGTGGCAGTCACTCTGGAAAAGTTTTGAATCTTTGCAATCTGCAAAGGATCAAATTTTTCTATTTTTTTCCGAATTTTCGCTTTCTAAGGCGAGTTTTTGACCCTTAGCTTTCCGTAAGACTTGAGATAGTTCAAATATTTTTGTAAGCTTGCAGAGGTCGGCTGGTGGATCGCTTCGTACCAACTGACTTATCAGCTGCCATTAAAAAACAAACTTCCTACCACTTCGTTGAGAACGGATTAGGATCCACTGACTAGTTCTCACCAAGATGTGGTTTTCGATTCTGGTGAAACAGTGAATCACTCAATTCAAAGTTACAGTTATGGACTCTTGGTAATTGCTAGAAGTTATTCGAACTATTTCGAGCCCAAAGAAGGCGTTGAGTGCCAATGTCTGCCTAAGGGCTTGAATTTTTTTCCTAACCATTCCAAAAAGTTTCGATTTTTGAATTAAAACATTTGAAACATACAGAACCTTTGTATTAACATGCGCTTTTGGAGTCTAATCATATTTGATTAGAATTTTATTAGTTTTCTATTCATCTTATTAATTGCCATATTCTAGGCAATCACGACGATCTTTTGCTAGACACCGGTGAAACCCAAGAGAAAAACTTGGAATTTGGTCATGCGAGAAACTGCTGTGAGCACGATCTATATTAGATCACTTGATTCGAATACGATAATTCGGCATACGGTAGAAGTTTTATTGTGTTAGTTTTCGTTAAGAACACGCACGGTGGTTTCTCCGTTTGTAATACATGCATTTTGGTCATATTGATTTATCGATTTCTTTTCACGATTAAAGTTACCCTAGCAGATGTGATTCTGTCCATTATCCGTTCATGTTTGATGTCATGTGCTTGTATTTTCATCATCTCTGAGGTTACATCCGTCCTTTTATGAAAGACTCCACCCCTTGATGAATGAACTCCGCCCACTTTAAAAAATAGAGATAAGTTTTAAAGCTTTATGTGTTCGACTAATATGCGAATGCCTTTCGTCTGCGTATTCTCAAGTCTTCGTCCGTCGTGTTTTCAAGAGGCTGTGTGGATGCCCAGATCTGTCGGGAAACTTCCCAGTTTCCCCCATGGGCGACTAACTTCGTGCCATCGCTGCCATGAGACTTGTCGTCGGTGACTTTTCGAGTGTAATCCTATTACAGTTTTTATTTGAAGCTTTGATTTCATGTTTCCAAGCTATTAAAATATTTATGATGAATGGTGAATGATGAATGATAATTATTTTGATGTAATTAGACAGCAAAATGTTCAATGTCACACAATGATCTTAGCCCCGTATGTGTCAGG